CAGTGTAATTAAAAGCCAGTTGTGTAAAAGGCACGTGGATCCATGGTGTTTTCATGGAAAGGGATGAGCTGTGTGTTCCCACCGTCCCACCTAGCACCAAGCATGAGCCAGAGAGGACATCAGGCAGCTGGACCCTTGCCTTGGCCAGGCCCTCAGCTTCCCTGTGAGTCTCAATCCCCCACCTGGCAGCTTGCCAGGAGAGCCCAAGGTGGATCTCACCTGCAGGATCTTATCTGGGAGAGCTTCCCAAAGGTCAGATGGGCTCTCCTCTGCTGTCATGGGTGTTGCTGCTGGGAGCACAGCTGGGAACAGGCAAGGGCAGAGTGTCTGCTGCTGCCTTCTGTGCTCCTGCCTGGGCAGGAGGTGGGGCCTCCTGCTCCCCTCTCCTCTGCCTGTGGTGACCTCCTTTGGTGAGGAGGTGTCAGGGGAGGTGAGTGGAGGTTGAGGCAGGGTGAGGGCTTTTTTCCACCTGGTGTGGAGACTGTTACACTTGCAGTGCTTGTGAGGGCGAGAGCACCTGGAGCATCCTTGAGTCTGCTCTTGGGAGGAGAGTCTCTTTCCCAGCTGCTATGGGGTTGCAGGGTGAAAGCTGGATATTGGTACCTTTGCTGCAGCTGTGCTGGGCTGCACAGGACTCCCAGAGGCTTTGAAAATTATCCCTGTGGTCCATGGGCCTTGCCAGGTGAGAGGACCTTTCTGACCAGCAGTGGGGTTCAGAGGACCTCACCTGCATTCCACACCAGAGCAGAGCGGGGGTCCAGTGCTGCTCTGTGAAGCTTTGGAAGCCATGCAACCAGGTAGGTTGGGCAAATGGCTCTGGGTGGCCCTGCTTGAGCAGGGGCAGGGCCCAGGTGACCCCCATGGGTCCCTTCCCATCCCAGCCTCTCTGTGGTGAGCACAGTAAAGGCTGGGCAGCCGTGGTGTCACACCAGGCAGGAGGCAGCAGGCAGCACCTGCAGCTCTGTGCCCCCCAAACCTCTGTGCAGGGACAGAGGAAGCAACAATAGAGGGGCTCAGAGAAGCCAGCAGCATTTACTCCCCATCCGCACCCAGGATCAGGCTCCCTCAGAGGTGACCAGGTGTGGGGGCTGCCCCTTGGGTGTGCTGAACAAAATTGATGCCACTTCACTGTCACAGGAGCTGGTGGTGGCTCATTGAAGGGAACTGCAGTAGGGTTCGAGGTGAATCAAATGCTGTGCTTTGTTTGTTTTAGAAGGAGATTTTAATGGAAACGTTATGAAGCTTTGCAAAGCTGGGGTCACCCCCACACGTGTAAAGGTGGCCAGGATGCCTGCAAAGCTCTGTGGGATACTAAATAAAGCTGATCTGTGGCTCAGCTCCAGCCTTCAGAAGCAGGTCTCCTACATGGTCCCACACTGCCAGGGCTGCTCCTGGGGACTCCACATTCCTCTCCTTAAGTGATGTTTTCCATGGCGTGGGACTTGGCCCTCCTTGGCAGGAGCTGTGGTGAGGAGCAGGGAGGGGTCCCAGGCTGCCCAACACTTAGCTCAGCTTGAATTGGTGTGTGAGCATGCTGAGATGCTGGCAGCTTTTACTGCACTATCCTAATGGTAGGGTGAGGGCTTTCTTCCACCGGTGTGGAGACTGTTAGACTTGCAGTGCTTGTGAGGGTAAGAGCACCTGGAGCATCCTTGAGTTAAATTCCAATTAAAAAGGGCTGTGAAATAGCCCTGTTTGCCTCATTGGGGAGCTCCAAGGGGTTCTGCCAGCACAGGGCTCCATGACCACTCAGTGCATTTATTGGCTGCTCTCAGGAAAGTGGGAATCAAGCCTACATAGTGTACAAAACCCAAAGCGGGTGTTAAAAAGCAGGAGCAAGAGAAGTACAGTCAAAGAAACATTTACAACTGTGTCATTAAGGATTTAAAATGAAACTTGGACAGAAAGTGTTGATCTCCAGCTGCAGGACAACCTCTTCAGCTTTAGTTTGAGCTGTGCTGCTCTGAGATGAGCTTGACTCTCCATCTAAGGGCTCTGTATGCTTTGGAGGAAGCCACCTGTAAGGAAAAGCCATAAGATCATCTGTGCTGGGTGTGACCATGGGTCTGTGTGTCCTCCTTTGGAGGCTGCCAGCAGCAGGTGATCAGAGAGGACTGAACAGAGCACATACACTGGGGATGCCCTATGTGCTATACACACACACACACACTCTCTGTACTGTACACAAACCTTAAACTTGCCTACTCTGCCTGCCAGGGGTTTCCTGCACCAGAGCTGGGTCTCTGTGTTTAGTAGCCTTGGGTGAGTTTCTGCTCCATGACCATGTGCACATGGGTGTAGGCAAACATGCTGAGGGAAGAGGCCAATGTGGGAGCAGTATGGATGTACCAAAGGGTGCTTGAGAATCAGGCCACTGGTTAAACATTAAAAGCTGTGATCTCTGCTCCCTGACAGTTCCTGCCTAATTAAACAGCTCTCACACACCAATGTGTGCAGCTCTGCAGGGCCCTTGATGTGCAGGACTACACTTGCTACTGGCTAAATCCCAAGCTCTGTACCCCTCCTTGGTTTTCCAGCACAGGCTGTTGGTATCCTGCAACCGCTCAGGACACCTGTGAAAATCCCAGCCCTCCCTGAAACTTTTGGGAATGTCCCATCCACCATGCAGTTGTCCATTCTGTAGCTGGCAGGACAGACAGCCAGCCCTGGGCAGTCGAGAAACCAGACCCAGCCCTCACAGGGCAGTCAGACTTGGGCTTGGAGTGCTGCAGCCAAGGGGGTTTGTTTGCACTTTGCTGCACGTGGGGATCCCTGCTGCCAGTTTCCAGGAGATTAGAACTCACCTCTCTGCCTGGAGACAGGTTTCAGGTGGCAGGTGGCAGCAGGCAGCTTGCAGGTGTAGAGCCCCAGGCAGCCACCGCAGTCAGAGGGCTTCTGGCAGGGCCGGGACTGGATGCTGTGGCAGGAGTGCTGCAGGGAGAGGGAAGTGAGGGCTGCAGTGTCCATGGCAGCCAGGACCAGCCCAGTCACAGCTGCATCATCACTCTGCAGTCACAGCAGAAGCAGCTCACCAGGGACTAGAGCAGCAGCTTCACTGCAAGGAGCTGGAGAAGCTGGGGCCCAAGGAAGTGCTTCCAGGGCCAGTTCATTACTGGTTTTCACTGGGAGCACTCTAAGCTGGCCACCACAGCCACAACTCAGCCCTCCAGTGCCTCTGCCCTTCTGCTGTGGTGGCTCCCACCCCAGCTGAGTGGCATCTGGCACGGCGTCACCCAGCACTTGTGGTTAAGGCAAGGTCTACTCGTGTGCCACCAAGTGTGGTTTGGGTTTGATAAAGGAGAAGTTGGTTATTTGTGGGATGCTGTGCTGAGCCTGTGGAGCAGATTTCCCATGGGCAGAGAAAGGCTGTGCTGAGAGGAGCTGTCCCCAGCAGGGCATCAGGGCATGGTGCCCCCACTGCAGAGCTGGCAGAGCTCTGTTAGCACTGTGGGGAGTGAACACTGCAGGGAATGCTCCTCTCCTGTTCCTGAACCCTGCTGGGGCTGGGGCTGGAGCAGGACTGTCCCTGCAGCTCTGGGGGCAGCACACGGGGACAACTGCAGCCAGACCTCTACTCTCCTCCTGAGCTGCTCACAGCCACCAGCTCTGCTCTAAGCCTTGCCAGGTACCAGCTGGGGATCTGGGGGTGGCCCTGCCCCACTCCCTTCTCAGCACCCACATCCATGCTGTGTTGAGAGGCCACGTTGTGACTGGCACCTTTACGTGCATCTTAAGAGGAATGGCCTTAAAAACACTTTTTCTACCTGGTGTTTGCAGGATCATGGCATGCTCAGCATGTCCTGCTGTCCTGTCTGATCCTGACTGGTGCCCCACCCATCCAGCAACCCCCGGCCCAAACCCTCTCCCCTGCTGTGCTTACCGTGTCGCTGTTGAACTTGCCGTAGCCCTTCAGGCGGTGGCTCAGCCTGGCCGTCCTGCTGCGGGAGGGCTGCAGGGGGAGCCTCCAGGGCTTGCCAGGGGCAACCTGCTCCCCGCTGCCCAGGAGAGCCCTGGCTGTGGCCTTGCTGAGGGACCTGGAGCTGGGGTGTGCCTCTCTCATCACTTTCCATGCACTGGCCAGAGGGTGGGTCCTCCTCTCTGAGCCCTGCCCAGGCAGCTTGTCACCTCCATCTCCAGGTGGCCAAGGGGTTTCTTCAGGGAGCCCAGCCTCTGCCTGCCTCTGCAGGGTGCCAGCCTGGCTCCCCAGTACCCCAGACAGTGCTGGGACTGGGCAGAGCAGCACCAGGAGGAGTGTGGTGACTGCCAGTGCCTGGACATTCATCCTCAGGTCCTGCCTTTGCTCGGGGTTCTCCTGCCTGGACAAGGCTGCTGGAGCAGAGGTGGAAGCTGCTTTTTTCCCCTGACTCCGGATGAAGCCAAAGTAATTTTTATAGTGCAGGGACATACCCTGGGGGCACAGCCCTTTTCCCCCGCCCCTGCTGTGTCCCACCTCCAGCTTGTGAGCAAACCCAGCTGCTTACGTGGGCCCCAATCCCCCTCCCTTGTGTTCCCAAACATCCCAGCACCCTTCTGCCACAGCCAGCCTGTCCCTGCTCAGGGTACACACATGGGTATGTGGCATCTGAGCACAGAATCCTTCAGCTGAACCACAGCTGCAAGCAAGGTTCTAGTAAAGGAGAGCTGATGGTAAATGTCTGTGTGTCTGATGGAAAGGTGGTGGGCTCAATGGGAAGGAGTTGCTATGAGCCTGGTGGCAGTAGGCTCAGGTGGAGGAAAGGCACCCAGTTAATGCCTCTATCCATTCCAGTGGGAGCTCACTGGTTAAACAGCAGAGCCCACCCAGGAGAGCAATGTTAGAGCTGCCCTGACACAGCATTTTGATTAACCTCAGCGCTGTGTCAGACACCAGGGAGCAGCTCCTCAGCCACAGGGTCCGACTGTGGTCTGTGGATGAAAAGGAGGGTGGGTCTCTACTGCAGGTTTACTATCAGTCAGGTTTAGGAACCAGCCAGCCCTGAGACCCAACTCTACTGGAAATCAGTTTTAATGAGTTTCAGTGTTCATCAATCTATGTTAGCACCCACAGTTGCATCCTGTGCACACTTCAGGCTTAGAGAGAGAAGGTGACTTTTCCTCATGGCTTCCATGGCAGATGCCTTGGATCCCTCAGATCTCTTCTGCTTCAGACTTGATACTCAGGACTAAAGAAGGAGGAAGGAAGCTCCAAGGTCAGAGGAAGGCATGTGGAACAAGGAGCTGTCATCTTTTAAAGGCCACCAGCTCGTCCCTGGTCACTCTTCTTCACTTTGTCTTGCCTACTGTCTCCAGGGGCATTGGACTTCAGAGCAAGAAGATGTGGTGTGTGCTGGCTGGCTTGGGAAGATGGATGAGGTTATCCTACAGTGTCATGTTCCTGCCAGCTGCACCCTGCCACAGGTTGTGATCCATGGGACCTCTTGGATAGGAAAGAGTAAACAGCAAGAGCAGATGTTGCTGCTGGGCCCAGCTGAAGAGACATGGTCCTGAAGATCCAGGAGTCAATGACAAAGGAGCTACTGTGATAATGGACAACAGTGACACAAGGTGGAGGAAGAGAAAATTCCCTCAATAGAAAATCTAGAAGGCCTGGAGGTCAGAAAACCAGGAGGTCTGAAAGACCAGAAGTCAGCTTTTCATTCCACAGGAGTTCCCTGGGTAGGGGCCTCCTTTCTTGAGGGTTTACTCAGGACTGAAGCAGATAAAAGTTCTCAAAGCTCAAAACACAGTCCAGTTCCTGAAAACAGGATTGCTGCAAGTGCAATGAGGTGATAGATGAGAAAGGCACAGTGTTCTAGTCCATCTTCCATACCTTTGCCTCTGGCCAGCTCCTGCTCTTGACTTGCTCCTGGCTGACACTGGAAGTGCTGATTTCTGGGGAAATGGGCTCATAGGAGCGGAGAGACAAGCTGGCAGCCAGCAGACCCATCCTCACACACGTGCCTGTGTCGTGTTTAGCAAGCACCCCTGCAAGGATTCCTGCCATTAAGCTGTGGAGGGAAAGAAAGATGGTTTTGAACAAGGGGAGAAGAGCTTTGAACCCAGGAATGTGGCTGTTCATTTGTGAGAGCTTTCATTTGGATCCCAAGCAGCACTTACAGCAGCAGGATGTGTCACACAGGAACGCTGAGGTTACAATGAATGTGTTTTGCTTTTTCTGTATCTATTTTAGAGTACCAAATAATGTCATTTATTTGCATTTTTTGCTCTTCTCATCTGAGAAGTTGAGATACTTCCTCTTGTACCACATTTTCTCTTCTCAGTTTTCCAGGCAAGGCAGGAGAAAAGAGCCTAAGAAGGGAAGAATTTAATTTTCCCCTGCTCTCTAGTTATTTTGTCACTTATCTGCTCTTTGTTGGTGCCTCATTATGTCCTCATTATATTGGTGCCTCCTCTCCCCAAAGGGTTGGATGGGGTGAGAGACAAAGTTTCTGTATCTATGTGAGAGGGACAACAGGCAGAGCTGGAAAAAGAAATCCAAAGCTGAAATTACATTGGAAAGTCAGATTTTTGGGAAACATTTGCTATGGTTTTTCATTTGAGATTTCCCAGTAAAAGTGATGTAAGTGCAGTGTTTGGGATAGATTGGGAGACTCTATTCACAGCAACTACTGTAAAAATGTTCAGAAGCTAGGAGAGGACAGAGAAGGGAAAGAGAACTGACAAGACAATTACATTTTAGAGGAAGAAGCAAGGACAGGAAAATGTGATGGCAGGGAGGATTAATAAGGAAATCTATGGGCAAGGTAAAAAGAGCCCTTATTTTGCACTCCACCTAATTACATCAACATCTTCTTATCTATAACAAAGGCACAGAAGATTATGACTTCCACAAAGTGTTCAATCTCTCAACAGCTCCAGGAGCTGAGAGTAAATATTTGGGGGAGCATCCCCTAGCAATGCCATGTGTGAGCATGTGGTGTTAGGTTGTCATGGCAGCTGGGGGCAAGGAGCAAACAGACACTGCACACATGCTCAGCTCATGGGCAGAGCTCTGGAACTGCAGAGGAGCCATAGGGTGGAGGGGAGGCATGAAGTGCCCTGGGTCACTGTTTCTGGGTTGCATTATCCCCTGACCAGTGCTTCTAAAGTGTGAAGGTTCATGGGGTCTAAGCTGAGAAAGTGTTACTACATTTTAGATATTAGGAAAAAATTATTTACAGTGAGAATGGTGAAACATGAACAGAGACGTGGTGGATGTCCCATCCCTGGTTGGGTGGGGCTCTGGGCAACCTGATCAACCTGCAGCTGTCCCTGCTCATTGCAGAAGGGTTCAAACTGGATGACCACTAAAGGTCCCTTCCAACCCAAAGCATTCTGTGTTTCTACAATAGCCCTTTGAAAGTGCCACCAGGCTGGGCTTGGGACACATAACCAGTTTATATGCTGTGGAGATGGCTTGAATGGCATTGCAGGGTCCTGGCATTTCCAGTCTGTTTTGGCACTCCTACACTGTAGAGCAGGGATTTCCAGAGTTCAAGGTTCACAGGGTTATTAGGAAGTAAAACCCTGAATGAACAAGGGGGCTTTGAAAATTCCCCCACATGGCCTTGAGGACTCTGTGGAGAGGAATTTCCAGACCAATGTTACTTCAAGAATGGGAGCAGTAATGGACCCCAAGCTTTCACATAGGTTTGGAAGGAAGAACAAGCTGCCAGGTTCCCTAGTGTAACTCAGTGGAGGTGGTTGGCAGTGGTGCATTTTATCTCACCTTCGGTCTTCCCTTGAATTTTAAAATGGAAAAGGAACCCCTAAGAAGGACATTTCATTGCATTAGCCTCTAGAAAACACCTTGTCCTGCAGTAAGGAGTACTTGTGTTTGAGCAGATGGTGCAGAGGGGAGGCTGTGTCCCTGGAGGGGCTGGCTGGGGACACCTGCCCAAGGTAGTGAGCAAAGCTGAGCTTTCCTTAGGCCAGGCTGACCTCACAACACTCCTCCAGCCCACATTCCTCTGCTGTTCTTACACCTATTGCTCCAAACAACCATTTGGTCTTCTTTGGAGAAAACCAGCTTGCAGCTGAGTCAGCTCACCTCAGAGGTGATCTGGGACACACACAGCACATCCTGGTGTCAAGTGGGCTCACCAGCTTGGCAAGAAGTTATTGATTGATTTTAAGTAAAATATTGAGGACTCTCTATGTTTAAAAAAAAACCACAAAATCCTTTTCATTCTGGACGATGATCAGAGAGAAAAGTGTTGCTATGTTGAGTTATTGCTAGGTAAGAGTAGAAAGGGAAAAGGAAATATCTGTCACACACAGACTTTTGGTCTAGCTCAAGGCAATGAAAGGACAGAATCAACTATTGCAACATATGAAGCAAGAAGAAAAAAACAACCTGACTGCTACATATAGTTTGTCAAGTTAACAAGGAGCATAATAAAATATTACTCTGACAGACTGAGAGTTGATCACTGGGGCTAGGAATAATAGCTGTCATTTCCCACTTCTATGTATGGCATTGTGTGAACAGCCAGGCGAATTATACAGCAGACTCCTTTGAAGCAAGAGCTTCAAAATTGCCAGAGGTAAATGCAGAACCTGATGAAATGCTTTTACAAGGCCATTTTAGCTCTTGAGTGGCAGTTCCACTTCCATTGGAGAAGTGGAAGTAAGGCAGTTAGTTAGTAAGACAGCTTTGATGTAAGGTGGTTTACTTTGCTTTTAGCAGCTCAGCCCAGAGTAATTCAGAATTCTTAGATTGCCAGGAAAGGCTTGGATCTTGAAGAAAAGCAAAACTAATAATGGCAAGCCTGGCTTCCAAGATGCTTCGGGGGACAATTTTAGCAAGCTTTGCAAGGAATCACTGTAACCAGCCCTGGTCTCATCCTTAATGTCTCTTCCTCAAGCAGCAGTTGCTTTTCCAGTAGAATTTCAAACGAATCCGATTATGGCCCTTGCACATGCAGCTGGAGAGGACAAAGCAGCAAGGATATATACCTGTCACCAGCTCCTGAGACGTTGACAATCTCCTCCCTGCTGATGGGGATGGCGGGGTAGTGGGCAGCACAGAGCCTGGCAGCAGCAGCCTGTGGGGGGAGGGAAGGGAAGTCAGTGGGAATTGCCCAAGCTGGTGAGGCCTGATGTGCCTGATGCCAGATCCACAGGGATGGCAAGAAAAGAAAAGGCTGGAAAAAAGGCAATAATCTTTTTTCACACTTTGATCATTTAAATGAAGCTTCCTGCAAATGAAGCTCGCACTCATGAATATTCACATGGCACATTTAATTCTAGCTGACTCTAAACACTGCTGCTAGGAGCCAGCAGCACAGGGACAGAGAACTCGATTTGCTTTCAGAGCTGTGTATTCCACCCCCCCAAACACATACATTTTCCAGCAGTGATGCCACGTTTCCCAGGACTGCTGCCACGACACCAGAAATAGCAACAGTGCCATATGGCCCAAGAAAGAAGCAATTGAGAGCTCAGAGTTAGTTTTCCATGCCCTTACCTGTTTGTGAGCTCCTGGATGAAGGGAGATGCTCCCTCCCAGGCTCCTGCCGCACAGGAGGACGCCGTGAGCGCCGAGGGTCACCACCACACACTGCAGGTGGGCCAGCAAAGGGCAGGCCAGGGCCACTGCAGCCTGGACAACATCCTCCAACCTGGATGGCAGCTCTTCAGAGAGAGGGGAGGGAAAAATGTGCTCCAACTGTAAAGGTCCTCAACCAGCCTGTCTGTGGGCTGGCAGCCTATTTATGAGCACTTCTACTACTATTTATAGGCACTTCTACTATTTATGGGCACTTCTGAGATGTGGTTGGTAACATTTTTTTTCTTTATATTATGGGAAACATGGAATTCTCCAGAGTTATACTTCCACGCTGTACTTCTATACTGAGGAACCCAATTCTCATGGGACTAAGCATGTGTCTGTAGAGATCAAAAAGCTGTCTGGAAGCATGGCTTCCTTGTTTCAATGCTGTTGGATTTCCATCTGCATTTGGTGGGGTGTGCCATTTCTGGAAAGGGTGGTACTGCTGGGACAGGTGCCCTCTGAGCACCATGCTTCAGGGACACATTGACAAACCAGATATTACTCCTGTTTAGGTGATGAAGTGAGGCAAATGGGACATCTGGTTTTGTGCAAGGAGCCATCCCAGGCCTACTGTGGTCTCTGCTGGCTCATCCATCCATACAGCCCAGACAGAGATGGCAGTAAGGTGCAAGATACCATGAGCACTTATGAATCCCCACTATGCTATAACCCAGTTTGCCTGTTTTAGAGGCTGAAGCAGAAAATGGTCTTCTCCAGGATCTAAGTTATCTAAAAGTCTGACTGACCCTTCTTATTCAATACCTGCTGGCACAGGGCTCCCGAGGGTCCGATTTATTGCTCTCAGCTCTTGCAGGTTGGGGGAAATGTATGTGAGTGCTTTCCAGCTGTCTGAGAGGAATGGCTTAGAGGCCTTGTTCTCATCTGTTGGCTCATAGCACACTTCAAAACAACAATGCAATTGGTTAGTTAATTAATTAATTAGTGGTTCATCTCTGTGTCAGAGCAGGATGCAGTGGAGAACACTTAGCATAATCTGCACAACTAGAGTTACACCTTTAAATTATGAGTTACACCTTTATGAGATACTCACTCCCCCAAACTTGGGACAAGGTCTCCCAAGGTTTCCTTCTCAGTGTCCAGCAATGAGACAGCTGCTTCTGGCTCTGGCTGATATAACCAGACCCCAATTTTGTTCCTCCAATTAACTGGTTTTGGAGCCTCTGCCAGCCTTTTAGATCACTGTGTCCTTCTTTGGGATTTGCTTTTAAAAAGGAAGGTGTAACTCCAAAGGTTTAGGAAGCTTTGTGAAAGGGCCCCAGCATACCAGTGGAGGGGGGGCACTTATTTTATGGGAATGGAAGAGAATTCCTCTCAAAAGATGCTTTAGTGCTTTCTCTGAGAAGCAAACTATATTGCTGCTCAAACTGGCAGAAGTGCTCAAATTGCCACTCACACTGAGATTAAAAGCTCAGAGAGCAGCATTCCTTGGCCTTCTGGCAGTGCTCAAGGGCTTTACCAACCATGCCCCAGGAAATGTGGTTCAGCTGCAGAAAGAGGAAAACTGCAGAGAAATCCAAAATGTTTTTTACATCTGAAGCAGAGTGGCAGAGTACAGAAAGTGGTGCTGAATAAGCCAGCATGTCAGACAGTCAGTGGTTATCTCCAGCAAGCAGCAGGGATGTGCCTGCACTGTCTTGGCACACGTGCTGTGAGGGCAAGCTCTCCTTACCTGCTAGCTGGTGCTCTCTAGCTAGCTGGCAGACGTACTGAATAGTGGAGAGAGGCACATTTCCATCAATGCAAACAAGTGGGGCCTGACACAGGTTCTCCTTGAACTGGGACACCTAGTTAAAATCCAGGACACACAGGAAAGACAGCCTGAGTCACTGCAGAGGGACAAAATCATTGCTAGTCAGACTTCATGTAGCATTTTGACTTGTATTCCAGCCTTTAGGTGCAGGCATGAACCTAAAAGAGTGATTCCCTAAGGAAAATGGATTTTTCCATTTGCTTCATCTCCTCCCCTTCCCTTTCCCTGCTCCTGGTCATTAAGGCCTGTACTCAACTGGCAGAGCCCCTCCAGCAGAGGAAGATAATTGCTGGTCCAGGCTGGAGCACTACAGGGAAATGGAATGCTGCTGTTTAATGTCCCTGTAGGACCCCCTGGGCCATGCCTCGCTCACCGTGTGTGCCATTGGGTGTCCTCTCTGCACAGTGGCTCCTAAGACAGCCTGTTCAGCACAGTGTTTGACTCCTGGGTCCCACTGAATCCCACAGGGATGGGGTTCAGGGGAGCAGTGGAGCAGGGAGCTGCTGTTCTCTCCTTTGGCTCTCTGAGGTTGCACAGCCACTTGCTGGGATGCCAGGCCACTGCTATGGGCACTGGAACAGCATCCCCCGGGTCTCTGCCAGCCTTGGGGGGAAGAGGGGCTGCCAAAATGCACTCTGCAGCACAAGACTGCTTCAGAATTTCCACTGATCACAGCTGCTTTGTAAAGCTCAGGAGAATTAATCCCTCATGTAATGGTTTTCTGTGCCAAGGCTTTGGGGAGGCAAGGTGAGGATGGAAGTGGGAGTAATAACCAGATTTTTCCTTAGGAAAGCTCCACCTCATGGAGATGCCACTGGTGAGTAAATTGCACTTAACTTCCATGTTGCTGTCAGTCATGAAGCACAAGCTTTTGTTCTGTCAATAAAAGAAGGAGGTTGCAGTGATGGGGCTTTCACTGAATCACTCTTTAATCACTGCTGCCATTATGCTTCCCTGATGTTTTTGAATGTTTGGATGTGCTGAGCAACAGTTTCTGTTGATACAACTCAGTGTGTAGAAACAACAGGAATGGTAGGGAGGGGATGGAACAGGAAAATTTGCTTTAACCAGTGTTCTGTCCACTTTTTTTTCTGTTTTCCCCTAAAGGAAGAAATATGGGTTAGAGTTATACAGGTTGATTTTTTTCCTTGCTTTAGGATGCAAAATTTTAAGTTAGCTTGGACAAGTTAAAGAAGAGGATTGTGGCCTGCATATCATGGATGATGATAGTGGTGATATTTATAAACCAGAAACAGATGGAAACTCCATCTGGGTCAGCAGTAATAGAGGGTTCTTGTGGCTTGTTGTGCTGCTGTGCCAGTGGCCAGTGTCTGGGGTTAACCTCAGCATCTCCCATGCCCTCTGCACCCATTCCCTCCCAGTGCAACATCACCAGTGGCCTCTTGTCACAGGCCCACACTCTTTCTCATAAGAAAAGCTCATAACTCTGAGGGAATGCATACATATTGCTCTGTTATCTGCTGGTGGATGTCCATGTCTCCCAAGCCAAGGCTGAGCTCCCCAGCACTGCTGATCACGGCACAGTAAGTGGCTGTGCTCTCCCCCTCCAGCTGAAGGACGCCGCTCATGTCCTGCAACAGGGAGGACAGGTACACACTGAGCACATTCCTCTTCCCTGCCACCCCCAGCTCACTCTTTCTGTGCCAGCTCACTGCTCTCCCTTGGGACAAGCAGCCTAGCAGGGGTATCTCAGTCTAGACAATGCTGGCACGTGGCTATTTGTTAATATTTGCAATGCAACAAATGCTGCAGGATAAAGCAATCCTTCAGTAAACGAGTGGCAGGTCTCTGCCTCTGTGCAGCTCCACAGGCTGTGTCTCCTGTAAGACAAGAGTGGGCTGCAGCCCTGCCTGCTCCAGTCACCCATTCTCACAGCTGCTGTGGGCTGGCATCTCTTGGTGCCACTCTGCAGACAGCAGTGACTTGTGTTGGCTGCCTCACTGCCTGCCCAGCCTGATTCTGAGCACACCCTGTTGCCCCCAGCAGTGGGGCAGAGAGCTGTGGGGTGTCCTTCCTTTGGGGCTCCTGGCAATGATCTGCTTAAGGAACACAGGGCAAATCTTGGAAAGAACATGTGGATAGAGAAATGTATCTATCTCAGGAGCTGACAGGGAAGCTGGAGTTTTTAGGGAAAGGTTCCTCTCCAGCACTGGTGGGAATGTATTTTATTACAGGCAAGGATTGCTTGGTGGCTGGCCAGTAAGTCCACCTTCCCTTGGGACACTGCTCACTTAAATGGCACAAATGTGGAGGAGAGATTATAGACTAGCCATGGTGAAGCCTTTATAACCCAAAAGAGAGCTCATATTCTGATTTATTCATTTGCCAAGTCACTGAGGCAGCCAGAACCAAGGCCCCATGGGCTCTGTTTGGATCCCATGCTCATGAGGGCACTAATAATAATCAGTGATCCTGACCAGCCTCACCTGGGGGCTGCACCCACACCCTGCCTTGCCTCTAGTCCTGCCTTTTCTCCATAGAGCTGCCTGCTGGGGTGCTGATATTCTGCCTTGCTGGCCTGGGGAGCTCCTGCTGCTCCAGCTCCCTGAGCTGTGGACAAGCTGCTGCTGGAGTCAAGCATTCCCCTATGCACAGGTAAGTGGTGCATGCAGCTCTGTAGAGGATCCTGTCCTCTGAGCTGGGGAGGTGTCCAACCTGCAATTCCAGTGTCACATTTTTCTCTGTCTTGGGCTTTAACTAAACCAGGTTGGTTTTAGTAATGCTTTGTGTGTCCTTAGATTCAAGGTTTGCATATTTCTTGCTTTGTTTAGCCTTCACTAGAATTGTAAGTGGTTGCTCCTGATTTACCTCTACCTCCTCCAAGCACCACTTTCTGGAGCTGAATTCAGAGCCCATGGTTCAGACTCCAAAACACACCTAGCCTGTTTTTGGAGGTAGTTCCTTGCCTTCTAATTGTCTGTAGCTAAAGAAGCATTGAATTCCATCTTTGCCTGATGGAAGGTGGCTCTGATGTCTGCCAGGGTTGGGAGACTTTTCCCTCTGTGTATTGTCATCTCTTCCAAGTTTCTGAAGTGCTACTTCTGTGACACATACCATGTGGTGGCAGTAGTGCAGGACAGACTCTAAATGCTCATCCTTCCCCACGGCTGATAAAAGGAGAGGAGCTTGTCCAAGACGGCTTAAACAGTCTAAAAAGCAAATGGAAACAAAAGCTGTTAACAAATCCACCAGAGTACTGTGAGCACAGTGACAGCTGGTGCAGCATGGGTGTCTCTGGGAAAGCCCTCTCCTGAAAATCTTAATGCTCAACAGTCCTTGCCTAGAAGGATGTTCAAGATGAAATTGAGCTGCAGCTGCAGTAAATGACTGCTTAGGGCTGAGTGAGGTGTCCTACAGAGAGCTGAACCAGCACCCTGAAATTTAGGATTATTTGGAACATCTGGGAGTGGAGGAAAAGAGGAGGAAGCAAATTCTGCTCTTTTCTGGCATCATCTCCTTTACCATCACAGGCATGTGGGTTTTCCCACACTGGTTCTGAGCAGAGTGTTTTCTGGTGCTGGCCCTCCCACACTGCTGTTCCCACCATGGTATCTTACTAGAACCACTGAATCTGAGAGTATTAATGGGAAACCCTTCCTCCTCTCCTTTCAAGTTACCACACATTGTACCTCCGTGGGTGGCGTGGGTATTTTGAGGGATTTTTTTCCACTCAAGCTTCTTCATTAGTGATCTGAAGTGACAGTAGATATGTATTAGGAGATTGGGAAATGTCTGAAGGCTGGAATAGTCCTAAAATCTCTTTTGTAATCTGTCCCTGTTAACTTCAGTACCAGAATACTGGTCTGCTGCTGCTTGTGGTGGAGCCACAGGTACTGTGTGCTCCTTTCCCATGGATAGGACTGTAGCCTTTCTTCTTCTACAGTAACTCTTGTATAAAAATGTGGTTTTTGTTGATAGAGTTGATAGTGGAGCCCTGGAAAATGTTAAAAATAGTCTTTGAAAATATTAGGCTTTGTGTTTTCTCAGATCACTGCACCTGCGTAAGCAGTATGATAAAAGATATAATTGTTAGATGTGATGATTGTTTAGTAATTAAATATAATTATTATATAACCACAAGAAGAATCATGAGCAACTGTGTTGGAAATTTAAAGGGGGCTATGTTTAGCTGAAATCTGTGCATACAATAGAACAATATAAGTTTAATAATTAACATGAAAGTTATGTAATGATAGAGTATAAAACACATTCACCTCGAATGTATGGTCGGAATCAGATTTGGGTGGAAATCACCCCGATTCCCAGAGCTCTTAAATAAAAAGCACCGCATATAATCGCTTATGTGATTATGTGGTTTTGAACACTAACAGAGTGACAAAACTATTTTTCGGTTTTTTAAAAAAGAAAAAAGCTTAAAAGTTTTGGGGTTTTTTTAATTAAGTAAAAAACACCTCAAAACCTAAAAAAATTTACTTAAAACTTAGATAGCCAATTAAACAAAAGCTAAAAAGTCTCACCTAAGCAATTTACTAGAAAAAAGAGAACAAAGAAACTAATTGCTTTTGTAGAGTGCTTTACCAAGAGCAAAAATCTCTTGCATCTAACTCAGTTTTTCTTTGTAAAAAGTTTTATTATGTTGCCTTTTAATAAAACTTTTCTGTTTCTAACACTACCACAAAAGCCACCCTACTAATTTTATGCCTTCTAAAGTAGCTAAGCTATCTTAAATGTAATATTAATTTCCAAGAGCTTATAAGACCTAGCTCAACAAAATCATATATCATCCTGTACCCCAGTTCCTTTTGTCCATGGGATGTGGAACTGTGAAACATCAGTTTGGAACTGTGATTATTCCTTTCATCCTCTTGCTCTAAGCAAACTTCTATTGTGTCTATATCCTAGCATGAATTAAATCTGAGGCTGGTCAGTAGTCATCAGATACTGATGCTTATTTACTTTGATTCAGGGTTACTGCACCATGTGCTAGTTAACTTCATATTTGTGGACCTTCCTTTTCCTGATCTCAACTCCCTCCCCTCTTATTTCTTGGAAAGGGCTCTGCCTTTTCCAGGCAGTCTGCCCACTAGTACATTGCCTAATGTGTCCCAAATCTTGTCAACATTCCCCCTCTCCTGCTGTGGAAGGAGTCCCAAAGGCCAGATCACAGCTGGCATGCACCAGCAGGCAAACCCCAGCACCAGGCACCTGCCAAGTTCCTTCCAACACCGCCAAAGGTTCGTCTCACTCTTCCAGCATTTGTTTGCCCACCGCCCTGGAAGAAAGAACAGTTCATTGGCAAAACTGGGAGGGCTGCTTGGCATGGTTGCTAAGTCTCCATTATCATCTGAAGTTGATATGGCTGAAACATAGGTCAGCAATCAGAGGGAGCACAGGGCATCCAGCTCACAGACTGAGGGCAATACAAACTTCTAGAGCCATCTTGGACTTCTGTTTGATGACAAAGGCCTGCTTTCAAGGAAGGGAGACCCACTTGATGTCCCCATGAATTGCTAGTTTGGTCTTACTTCTAAGACCTCCCAGAGTAGCTGATGAGTGTTTCAGTCAGTGTGAGCAGACCTCTGAATTCACCTGCCCACAACAACCTGTGACTCCAAACTTGCTGGGGCTCTGCCTTCAAGGCCACTTAGCTCCCACCTTAAGCAGTTTGTATGAGCTATTTATTTATTTATTTACCTCTTTAAATGTAAAATGAGATTTGTTATCTTTGCCTGTACTGCCTCTGTACTTTATTCATGGAAGGATCTGTTTCAGAGACTGAAGAGTTCTTCACTGACCCATTGCTTCCCAAACATCTCCCTCATTAAGAATACCCTTCTTTCCTGCATGTGCAGCTACCAAATTCTTTTCTCTTGCCTCTGCCTTCCACTCCTCTGTCCATCTGCCTTTCTGTCACAGACAAATTGTCAGAACACAGGCAGTCACTCGCCCATCTCGTTCTAATTCTTCTGCCAGAAGAATTACATCAGTTAGTACTCAGATCAATTTGGGCTTCATCTGACTATCAAATGGTTTTAGGGTTCTTGTTTCATAAAATCCTGAAAACTATTTTCCATCTCTGAAGGCAGCTTGCCTCTGGCAGTCCTAATGCCTGTAAGCAGAAGCTCCTGGCCCAGTCCCTCTGCCCTACACCAGCCCAGGTGCACAAGGACAGCCCTGCACACAACATTTTCCTTGCTTGTAGACACCACTATCTATTCTAACCAAGAACATGTCTTGCCATCTCACTGTAAGGAATGTTCTGCTCCCAACAATCCCTGTGCTTGGGCATTCTCAAAATTCATTCTGAAGCTCCCCAAGGATTCTTCTTTCCCTTTGTGCAGCTGCACATCTGTTCTTTGCACACAATGCTTTCTCCTGCATCCAGCCCTGGGAGAGGCTGCTCTCCCATCTAAATATGATCTATTTCTCTCATCTGACCTTCAGGCTCTCTTTCTTAGCTCTGACTCTCCCCCGTTCTGTAGTCTGTAAAATCTGGTGCTAATTTTTGATACCTTTGCTTTTCTGTCTGGCAGTTCTCCAAGCCCTAAACTGTTCAGGCCACCTGAGCAGAACTGCCTCTGTATAAGCAACCAACTGATGGCCTTTGTCCATCTTTGCACTGTTTGTCACTCCTCATCATATGCAAATGTCACTCCTTGCCAAATGCCCCTCCCTTGCCTTTGCTTGTGCTCCCTGGGAATTACCACTGGTACTGTTGGGAATGAGGATATTTCCATCTGCAACTGTATCCTGTTGAGAGTTGCAGATTTCAAAAGCCAAGTGACTTTGGCTATTTTAATTCTGAAGCTCACTCTCTGTAATACAGGCAGCCAAGGGGGGAAAAAACCAAACCTCAGCACCTCAAAATACAAAGCAAGGGTGCTTTTTTAGGTGAGTCAAACAACATGGCTTTGAGCATTGGGTCCTATTTCAGTCTTTAAAGAGGGTGCTGGCTGCCATCAGCAATAAGCACAAACTGTGGTTTATGTAATTCCATTATCTGTGGTTTAAAACTGATGCCTTCAGGAATGGTGAATATACTCATTAGCTCCTTTTGCTGCCTGGCATGCTGATCCTCTCTCTTAGCTCCCCAAATACCCCAGAGGCAGAGCTTCTGGGTGTCTTTTTTATTAGCCTTGCCCTAAGAGCAGATGTAGCAGCCTCCTGCTCAGGGATCCAGCTGTGGGTGACCTCTCCTGTTGTAGAACCCCACAGGGCCTAAAAAAATGAAGATGCTAAATGTCTCTTTGGGTACAGTGAGAGAGAAACCAGCAGCTGGCTCTTAAAGAAAAATAAATGAGTGGCTCTCTTCATACCTTGCCAACTCAGTTGTAACTGAGTGGTATCCAGAAATCTCTTCTTGGGTTTGGATGGGGCTGGCCCAGATTAAAGAATTTAGGTGAAAATGGGCTTGCTAAAAGTGATCTGAAATGAGGCCAGGCTGATGCTTTCTGGCAAAGTATCAGAGAGTTGAGGAAGTATCTGGAACCTTCTTCCATGTCTTAAGAGGTTTGAACTCTTAATGTGAAAATGAGACTCTGCTCAGCTTCTGGGTATCCTGAGAGAATGATAACCATAATGGTTTTTCCAGAAACTTTCTCTGAGCAAAACTGTTCATCCTTCTCAGCAGGTCAGATAGTTACATATTAAGCATTTAGCTTCTGGGTAGCCTTGAAAGCCATGTGGGAATTACAACCAGGCCAGAACACAGCTGCTTTCCTGCTGAGACAGCACGAGGATGGAGTGGTACCCGGTGCTCTGCAACAAATCCAGCAAGCATAAAGGTGGGATCTGCTGGGTGTGGAGCTCTCTGAAAAAAATCTGTCTTTAAAAAGCCAAAAGAGTGATATTGAGAGAGGCTTTTCCTCTGTGCCTAACCACAGTAGCTGTCAGCAGGAGCTTTCTGGCTGGCAGTTCCCAAATCCTCCTTGGCTTGGCAGTGGATCCCAGCCATGATGCACCATGAGCTCTGGGGCTCGCTGAAGGCAGAAGGGTGGCTAACATCTCACTTTTTTATGCAACATTCAAAGCCCCCTTTTTCCCTTGTCAGCTGCTCCCAGCGGGACCTACACAGGTCCTTGGCCCCCTCACCATGCTATGGGTGCTCCAGAAATCTGCACTCATGTCTGACATGCCAAGGAATGCTTATCTTTCCTTGGACACAGCTCAGCTCCTTGCCTGCTGGCTGAGTGTAGGCTGTGTATGGTATTGGTTACATCTCAGCTGAAGCAGCTGAACTCTTGCTTTTGCAAGCTTTCATAACTGATGCCACAGCATATTTCACCCTTGACCATTGTAACACTGCTTGGCCCCTGCATCATTAAATATCCAAATTCCTTACAGACAGCTTCCCCAGGACATTTCCCCTGTTTGACTGAGAGGTCCTCACAGGCTGTCCCATCTGATGGCAGAAGCTTCCTGCCTTGGCTATCATCACAGGGTAATTTGAGACACCAAATAAGTTTTGAGCAAGCTTCACCACCTCAATCTGCAGTACTTGGTACAGCTTGACAAAAATTGTACAGGCCATGCAAACAGCTGTCATTTGCACGGGGGACTCCCAGGTTTGGTCCACTTTAGCTTCTTGTTTGCTTCTTGTTCAACCCAAATTGAGACAAAGGGAGTCTGGTAACATTTAAAATGTTCCAACTTACAAAGCCATCTTCAGGGGTTTTTTTTCCTTTTTTTGTTGGTTTTTGTGTGTGTGCATGAGACTCAAATCCTTCATGAGTACTCTGCACAGAGACTCTTGCTCCTATTTGTGCTGCTTCCCATAGTTAAGACAGTCTCAGATGGGTTACCTGGGGGTTTCCCCACTATGTGGAGGTTCTATGAATGTTACATTGCTTTGTCCCTCTCTTGAGTGTCAGGGATGGTGATTTTCACCTTGGGGACAGAGCAGGTCAGCATGTATCACTCCATTATCCATCTAAACAACACACCAAGCAGGCAGCACTCCCAAGTGTGTGCATACACACATGTGGATATCATCCAGGGATAACCCCTTCCCCCCAACCCCTTTGGCTTGGCACTCCTGTAAAAGCAGCTGGAAATACACTGGTGCTAAGAAAACTGCTACAGATACAGTACCAGGATCTCAGGGTTCTGTGCCTTGGCTATAAAGTCAACGTTGATACCGCCAATCACCACCTTTAAGAGGGAAGAAAGAGGTAAAAAGTGGTTGGAAGGACTTCAGGAAAAAGTTTCCAAATCTTCTTTGCTTTGCCTAGTCACTTTTCCCACCCTCTTGAAAGCTCTCTCATTTACAGTGTAAGGCCAAGTGCTTCTTTTGAATAGTTAGATGCAGCTTTGTACAATCCCAATCAGAAAGAATCAAAACCTCTTCTCTTTGTTGCTTTCTGAATTATGCCTGCTGACAGCCAGGCCCAGCGTGGCAGGTGGGATGTTGCAGTGGACACACAGGGATGCTGATGGTTTCCCTGTGTGATATACCAGGCCTCAGAAACATTCAAGCACTGGTGTGCAAAAAAGCAAAGAAAATGGGAAAAAGTGGGCAGGAAAATGCAGTAATTTCTTGCAAGCTCCCAGGAGAAATTGCCATACCCAGTGACACTTTACAGATCACTTCTTTTATTGTCCTACAAAGCCAGAATAAGCAGTTTAGCTCCACAAACAGGAAGTTTCCAGATTCTTTGGGGACATACAGATGTTTTTTCTCATCAAATACTGGGTTATTGCCTCTGGAGTCACTGCCCTCTTTTATGTTGACAAATCTTACTGCAAATGGGTTTTAGAAAATTTTTCATGTCTAAAGACCACCTAAAGGAGATTTCCTGCAAGTTACATGGCACAGACAAAATCCAAGAGAGTGAGTAGAGTATGAGGGTTATAGTAGATCTTGTTTGGCATGTGCTGTAACTCTTGTGATTTTGTCAATCATGAGCAAGAGGCCAACAAAAAGAGATATTTATGGCTCAGCAGCTCAAAATATCTCTCCCCACCCTCTTCCAGGTCTATTCCTGTAGTCACAAGTTCCCTGGTACTAAGAGCTGTAGAGATGAAGCTGTACATAAGGGCTCAGCAAAAGGTGAAAAGGTGATTCAAGTTTTAATGGCCTTGATGGTCTAAGACTTAATGAGATCAAGCCATTGTCAGTGTCTATTCTTTGTAAATGTGGATAAGGGGAAGAGGAGACGACACTTATCTTTCAAGAATAACAAGGGAAACTAAAGGGAGAATGTCTGACAGCGTGAGGGAGAATGATTGTCCCTGGCTGAGTCATCTTTTACTTTTGGGAACAGATATAAATTTATCTCGTGCTGTCAGCAGAGAGGCATCATGTGGAGGCCAGCAGAGGACTCACTGGTTGGGGTGCAGTCATGTCCTTTTGCCCAGGCTGGCTCCTCTTCCTTCTGGCTTTCTGCAGTTTGCTGAGGGCCACTGCAATGCAGCTGCCCACTCTGGCATTGTTCTGGATCAGTGCAAGGTCTGTTGAGTGTTTCTTGAGGAAAATTAAAAATACCTGTGAGTCTGACCTGTTAGAAGCTTAAGCAGGAAATACATTCTGGGACTGTAGGCTTGATCCCCCATACCATAACCCTTTGAGGACAAGTATAGTGGGTAACAATGCTGCATGAAAACCCAGATTTTTCTTTTTCTTCTTTTTTTTTTTAAATTCACCTTCTTCCTCCCAGTGTCCACAGAGAGGAAGCCTGACTTTGATAGGTGGGGAATAGAAGCAAAGACTTCACAGAGAGAAGAGAAGGTGAAGTACTTAAATTACAGCAGAGAGCCTAAAAACCTTAGAGGATCTTCGTCATCTTTTCCAGAAAGAGATACCTACTGAGATTTTGCCAAGTCACTATAAGCAATTTTTTTTAGCAAACTGCACTGGGAGCAGAGTATCAGAGTCTTTGAAAGCCCTACTTTGTGGCTGCATATTTTTACTTCCAAAAATGCCTTTGCCATTCTGCCCTGATTGATCAGGTCTCCTAGAGGGCTGGCAGCAGGGCCTGGATGTGAATCTGGCTCTCCCAGATCCTACACTGGCATCCCAGCCAGTATCTCTGCTTTCTCTTGGCTGTGCAGTAGGATTCCTGCTCACTCAGGGCTGTTTGTCCTCCAATTCCCTCCTTCTCTGCACCCCCAGGGAAGGTTGGATAAGGCAGCACTGTGTGGATAATGTACAGCACTGTGCTCTGGGAAGCCCAAGGACCTTCCAGTGTGCAACCCCAGCACAGACAACAGCATCCAGAGATTCCATCACAGAGTAGGCAAGCTCCAGGGCCAGATCTGAGGGATTTCCTTGGGCTCTGGACCAGCTGCCATCTGTGCTGCCCTCCAGTTTTTAATGTAAAAGGGGATGAAGGCAGTAAGGATGTGCCCGAAAAATCAGGATGCAGGTGCTAAACTCTCATCTGTTTGCAGACACCGAAGTGTTTGCTCCTTGCTAGACCATCAATAAAGTGACAGTGTTTCCTACCAGGCATTATCAGAAGAGATAGAAAATACACTAGAGTGCTTTCTTTTTTCCCCCATTTAGTAAGAGGATACTAGAGTCCAGCGATTTCCCATCAGTTAATTCTGTGAGCTTCTGTAACAAAAAGGGGGTCACGTCTTTGCCTGTGATTCCTTTGGACCTGCAAGCATAGAGAAAATGCCCACAGATGAGCTGAAATGGCATCAGAGGAGCCAGCAGATACTTTAACTCCATAACCACATACCATAACAAGTCCTGTAAAAAAGCTTTGGGCTAGCTAAAGGTACAGTTGAAAATAAGTTCTGGATTCACCCATGCGCAAGGTTAAGCTGTGCTACAGCTCCTGCCGCAGTGTCCCTGGATTTGTTTGCTCCCCCAAGCCCATGGGCTGAGCAAAGGCAAAGGCTTAGGTTGCTTCTCACCTGGCTTGGCTGAGAGCTTGCTGGATGGCCTCTTCGATGGCCTGGCCCTGGGCAGCTCGCTCCTGGGGACAGGGCACTGCTATCAGCACCCCACTGCTCAGGCCCAGCCCCAGAGCACTGTCTGCGAGAGGATGGGAATATTGTTAGTGGCATTCCTTGGAGGGAGAAGTCAGGTGCTCAAGGAAAAGGACAGAGGAGAGTGGGCACAAGGTGGAGGAAGCCTCAGAGCTCAAGCTCCAGTTCTTAGCTGACCCAAGATCAGGATCTTTTCCAACCAATTCACATCTGCCTATTTCTTTTGAGTCTGTCTGCATAGTAAAAGGGGAAAAGGCGCTTTTTTTTTTCTTTTTTAAACTGATTCCCCTTCTAAAGGCCCAGAAGTTGGTTTTGTCCATATATTATTACATGCTGCCTCCACTTCACCAGGTGGAATAAAACACAAATGAGCATGCCAAGCTGGCTGCAGCTGGCTTGCAGTTTCACTTGCTATAAAGACTGGACTTCCCTGCTGCTGTAATTTCAAAGCACTTTTGATGCAGGAATGGGGGAGGTGGGATGACACCATTTTTCAGAGCAAATTTTTCTGCAGACTTAAAGAAAGTGCCTCATCCAGGGTAATTCTTGTGTCCCTCCTTTCCAGGACCTTACATGAGACTTTGCCATCTGAAACACACCAATGAGTTTAGCTGCCTCCTCTTCATCCTGGACATGGTATGGTGCTTGGAAACCACTCTGGCGTGAGAAGAAGGCTGGGAACTCTCTTGATTCTCCAAAGGCAGCCACGCATACACCCTGGGTCTCCTGCAGCAGTGCAGGTGAGAAAAACAGGTGATCAGTGGAGGGAAACTGAAGAATGGGACTTTTTCCTTCTACCCAGAAAGAAACTGCCTTCCTTTGGCCCAGGTCATGGCCATTTTTGTACATCCCATTCTATTCTATCCTCCCACCAAGAGCCAGACATGGTAAGTGGCTAGATGAGATCTGGCTCACTGAGGCAGAGGAGGCATGTGCATCCTTTGTGTGTGCTTGGAGCTGATCCAAAGCCATGCAGCTGTCATTGGCACCATCCTGAGTGCAAGACAACACCCTGGGACCTGAAGACACGTTGTGAACTGACAGGATATAAATGAGCTCTGCTTACTATTGAGAAATATCAATGTTGGCTGTCATCAAGAATGCTGGCCCTGGTGGTTTCCAACATGCCAAACCTTAAAAGGTGACTGCTGAAAATCATCTGATTCCCTTTTTAATTCTGAATTGAATTTAGTGTTTGATGGATCTAGCTTTCCTGATCCATCAGTTTCTGGGAGCATCATCCCGGAAAAGCAAACCTAATGCCAAAGAAAAAGGACATGGATAGCACTACCTTTGACCTCAGCTGGAGCAGCTGCTGGAACAGCCCCTTGGACATGGATGGATTTATGTTAGGGAGCAGCCAAGTGCTTGTACAGCCCCAGGATTACAGAACTGTAATATGGCTTCACATCCTCTCAGTAGCAATTTCTGAAAATCTTTGGCTTAGGACCCATCTCAATGCCACTGTGCACAAAGAACATTATCTGCTTTGACACCACAGCCCGTGCTACCTACCAGATATTCCAGTGTCCTGCCAATATCAAGGATAGACTTGGCTCCTGCAGATACAACAGCCACTGGTGTTCGTCCTAGCTCTGTCAAGTCAGCACTCACATCCAGAGCTGCCAAGGGACAAGCAGCACTGAGTTGGTGACTGTGTTGTACTCCAAGCTGGTGAGCTCTGACCTCCTAAAAAGCCACATATGCCCAGGATGCCACTGCCTGACTTTAAAACTGCTTCGATCCACAAGCAAATATTAAAGGTTTAGCTCATGACTTTAGGTGTTGAGATTGAAAGAGGTATTGACAAAAAGAAGGCACATGACTAAGGGCAGAGGTGCAGCCTTGTACTCCATCTCTTGGCTCTTTGATCACATTGGTAAAACACATGCAAAAATTTGGTAGAAAAGAAAGGAAAAGGTGTTGCACAGCAAGGATAAGATTCAAGGAGATGCAATACCATTGAAGTAGATTTTGAGTTTGGAACTGACAATGCTTGCAAAAAATAGAAAGTAGCACAGGAGAACCTCAGGAAACTCCCTGGTCTGGAATTTATATCACATCTAAAGGGATGGCATATGACAAGGCACTGCACTTGGGCTGTGCTGCAAATATATATGGCTGAGAAGAGAGAAAGCACCTAAAGGCCACAAACTGTACAGCCAAGACTGGGCCATCTTCCAGAGAGGAGAACACACCTCTAACACAGAGCACACTCTTTTGTGGCAAGGCTCTTCTTCTCCTCAGCTGAGAGAGCTGATAACAACACTGTGCTTGGCACCCAGTATCAGGTTATCCAGACGTTACAAAGAGGCAGAGGTGCAGTCAGCTCCTGTTGCACCAAACAATATCAATATAACCCCGTGTGAGCAAAGGATAAAGAGAAACTTCCACTCCCTTAACAACTGTGCAGGGCTCAAGAGGAATATTTGGAAGCTTCTGGAAAGGGGACATTAGGGAGAAAGCAACTCTATTTGGATCAAGAAGAATGTTAACTATTCTTCTGAACAGACAGTTGCTGTAGGACAGGCTGGGAAAAAGGAAAAAGAAGGAATTGAATGAAACTGTAGCAACAGAGTGAAAAGTAGAATGCATTGATGTTCTTACTGTTCTCCCCATGCCGATGGACACCTCCTATGCCACCTGTGACAAACACAGGGATCCCAGCTTTGTGTGCCACAATCATTGTTCCAGACACGGTAGTGCCACCGGACAAGCCCTGTCAGGGAACAACCAGTCACAGTCAGCACCCAGGGTGACATGGAGGAGCAGCCACAGCTGTGGTCTGTGAGCAGCTCAGCAGTGAAATTCTAACACAAATATTCTTTTAGCCCAAAGGCAGAGTAATTCCCTTAGGAGCTGGACTCTATAATCCTTGTTCATCCCTTCTGACTCAGAATATTCTGTGAATCATCTGTTGTCCCTGCTATATAAGCTGTTCTTGCCCTGATAGCAGAGGCCTTTGCTGTCCAGAGTGTTCCACAGGCAGCTAGTGGCACCTTTAGCTGCCACTTTAAGCCCGGGATGGCCTAAGTGTCACATAGTTTACATGCAATGAGAGAATGTCCTATCAAGCCAATAAGAATATTCTTAGCCAAGTGCCCATGGCTTGCCAGCACAACCAGAATGACTTTTCAGGAGCCCTATTTAATGTGTGTTATTCCCTTACCCTGCTGGAGATTTTGAGTCTAGTAAGGGCCACTTTTGTGTTTACCATAGGATACCACTTCCCATGATATTTTTGAGAGGTTTCAAAGCCACCTGGCATGAAGCTGGAGAGCACTATACTGTTGCTAGAAAAGCAGCTATACTTTACTAGGAAAGACCACACTAGGAAGTTTGCACACCATACCTGGCTGAGGACGAAAGGAAAATCTCTGCGAGACACTTTAACTGCGTTTTTACTGCTTGCCAAGAACTCCAGTTCCTCATCTGTGAGTCCCACGTGGATTTGGCCCCTTAAAATACCTACAGTGGCTGGCACTGCTCCATTTGCTCTTACAATTTCTTCCACCTCTCTGGCCATGCTGAAATAAGACAAACAAGACAATAATCACAACATTATGGATGGAAACAATCAGGCAAGAAAACTGTCATGTTTGATGGCCATCATTCACAGTTCTACAGTTCTTGTGGTTTCAGCTACATCCTGTTCTTCTTGTATCTGCCTCGTGGCAGAAATCTTTGCCCTTGAACTTGCAGAAGTGAAGAGCTCCCATTTTCAAGGATGGCCATGTCCAAGCTCTGTGCTTCATTTTTGAGAAAAATCATTTGGTTTAAAAGCAAATCGCGTTGTACAATATACTACTGAAAATACAGATCTTCTCAAAATAGGACTTTTCTTTAACTTTTACCTGTTATTTCTCTGACATAATAGACCTTCACAGAAACCCCAGGTAGTTCAAGTCCTGCTCAAATGACCAGGATATATTTTTCATAATACAGTCAGTGAGATACAGAGTAACAATGGTGCCAAAAACCTGCTGCCTTAGGGTACTCCAGGACTGCAGACTAAGCCTAAGTTTAGCAGATTTTGTACTTGATCATTAATACAGTATCTTTTTTAGGAGCAGCTTCTTCTCCCTTTCTGAGCTATCTGGACATATGCTTGGCAATCTTTAACTACTGAACCTCCTCTTCTCAAAAATCGAGATTTTAGAGCTTCATTTTAAGAGAGAATGTCAGGCAGAATAATGGCCAGGTAAAAAGCAAGATGGAAAATCAATACCAAAACCTTTCTGTGCTTTCTGGAAGCAAGGATGGAGGGGAGAGTGCAACGATTTCTGGCACTGTAACTCAATGAAACGAGAGTCTACTGAAAATTGATAAATAAAGAGTAGAGGTGGGGGGTTCCATGCAGGGTGCAGAAGACAGTGAGAAGGGACCAGGAGCTCTCGCAGTAGCTGCTCTGAGTGGGCTAAGGAACAGATTTCATTATTGTGTTTCAATCCTTTTTGCATTACAAAAGACACAGGAAAAGAAACTGCAGAGTGTTTTCAATGTCTGTACAAACTAGCAGCTGAAAAGCTGATAGCTCTCTTTTAGAGCAAGTGGTGACATTATCTGCTGCTTTATTTTAAAGGAAGCCAGAAATTTAAGGTGTTCGATAAGGAGATAACTAAGCTCTCCCCGTATTTGTCCTTAAAAGTCCAAATGCAATTGTTTTACACTTGAGCTCACAGCCTGCATGCCTAACAACCTGACATTTCCATTTGCTCTTGCAACAGCTTTGCCTTGACCAAGAACAAAGATACCAATCCAGTAATTATGTGCTTCATTCTTACAACTTCACTGAATGAGGAACATCAACATCCACCACCTCAAATTCAGGGGGTAAGCCATGCCATGTGTAATGATGGTGCTTTCCAAGGCTACCACGGGTCTGCCCTCCACCAGTGCTTCCTGTACAGAGGGATGAATCCTGACATAACCACCTGGGGAAAAACACAGAAGAGTGAGTTATTTGTGTGGGTATTTGCAGTAACTACTGAGCTGTTTTATAAAAAGCAAATTGTCGTCATCACAACAAATTTATCCCTCTCTTCGGTTGTTCTTTGGGGTGAATTTGCAAATAACTTCAAGAAGACTAGAGCTGTGTTTTATGTAAGTGAAATGTGTGCAAAACATCTCTACTGTTAATATGAATTATAATCCTCATCACCATCACTGAAGGATCCTCTGCCACCATTTTTGAGTTCTATGGTTACTGTTATTCCACTTGAACATTATTGCGAACAAACTGAGCCCTGCAACCACACCTAAAGATGGAAATATGTTTTAGAAGAGTGGAAGCACCAAGGATACCATAGGAACTCAGTGCACTACTCACCATGCAGAAGTCTTCTCACCTGGGTGGCCCCATGTGCCATGGAGGACACCTGTCTTCCCAGGCTGAGGGTTATCTTCCTAATCATCTTGTGCATTCGGATGCTCCTAAGATAACAGAGGTCAGGTGAAAAGGAAAGATGTAATTTAGCAATGATGTGACCCTAAGAAGCTAAACATATCAGTTCTTGCCTTGACTTTGGAAGGTAGATGTCCCTTTGCCTAAGAGATGGCCTGGAATCTCCTGGTGTTTCGAGCATGAGCCAGAGTGGCAAAACACAATGTTAAGCTGCAGAAATGGAGTTAGAAGGGGTCACCTGGCCCATTAATGCTGGGCTGAAATCGTGGTGGAGCAGAGGAAAGGATGAGGACTGACAAACTAGGGAGAATTCTGAAGCAGAAAACCTTTTAAATTCCAAAGTGACCTGCTGACATAGATGTCAGGCCCAGGCACTGCCACCTCCAACGTGAAAGGTAACAAGGAGTAATCTACAAGGCAGAATAGTGCTATAGGGATAGGAACCTGTTTTCTGCCAATGTCTAGGAGAAAATAAGGGGCTCAAAAAGGAGCTGAGAACTGACAAACCAGACTGGAACTGCGAGGAAGAGAGAGCAGCTTTCCCTAGAGCTGGGAGTGCTTTATGCAGGCTCATGTTACATCATCCTTTTTAGCACAGTGCCTTGGAAGCAGAGTGGCAATTCAGCCCCAGCAACAAACTCCAGAACTCCTCTGGTCTCTTAGCAACTCCTTTTCACTCTAATTAAATTCATTCCCAAACAGAGAAGGAGGGGGAGAGAGCTGTAAATGTTAAGAGAGTGGTCTGGTCTGGGCCTCAGGGCAGTTTCACTCAATGCCTGGCTGCTTCACATGCTTTTCCTGGGCTTTTGGCCATATCCCTCCAGTCTCCCTGTTCCTCACCCCTTCACTAGGAGGAAAGGATTCTTCAGTCCTTTGTGCCTATTGTTAATTCAGATGGCAAATTAATTAAAAAACAGTACTGTGTTCATGTTACAGTTAGCAGAACATGGCTCTGCTCTCAGTACAGTGTGTGGCACTTCAGCTATATAGAAAATTCTTATACCCAGGGAGAGTATATTTGCCCAGATCTAAAGACTTCAACTACCCAGGACAGATTGGGCTGTGCTATTTAAGAAATGTGGGACTGGATCAACTAGACACAATACACACCTGACTGAAACGCTAAGATTTTCCACTTTCCAAATCCTTTTTGTGCTAAGCTCAGCAGCTTGAGCTGTTCATGGATTCATGCAAATGTTCTGGTATGGCTGTGTGTGTGCCTACACACCCCTCACTCTCTGGGGCAAAGTCAGCTTCAGAATGAATTCATTAAGCCAACAGGGCTACGCCAGGGATCGGCTGAGCTGCTCGAGTTGTGCTCTGAATTTTAACAGCTCCCCAAACTCAGAAGCACAACACCAAGGAGTGCACAAGCTGTACTGGCCAGTGGATAAAAACCAGCTGGTCACCACCTGAAACACAGCAGGGCTGAGCTGATATTCACGGGAAGCTCAGCCAACATCCAGCCTGAGCTGCCTCAAAGATTTTTGAAGCTTGGCAAGTTTTGCTGCAGGACCCATACAACCTTTAGCCTTGTAACCAAACTTTGCACATTCCTCGTGCACGTTTCAGGCAGCTGGAGCAGGGACCTGCTCTCCTCCCGCCTCCCCTGTGACCCACACTGTATCTGAGCTCATGGAGCAATGGCCTGGTGTCTCTTACCTCTGCTGTCTGTCTGTCTCATGGAGGGAGGCTGGGTGGGTACTGGAGCAGTGCCTGGGCAGCCCTGGGAGGAGGTGGAGGAGGGGGTGTGCTGGCCAGAACTCCTGGCCAAGGGAATCTATTTATGATTAACCACAGGCACAGCTGAGCTCCACAACTGCTCCCTGCCCAGGGTGCAGGGAGCTGCTTCACGGCAGGGCCAGGAAAGCTTCTGTGATTATTTTTGTTCATGCAGAGCCAGATTTTCCCCTTGCTCTTTAAAAGACTTTTCTCATTTTTCAGATTCCTTTCCTGTTAGATTTTTTTTTTAAATCGGTGAATTCCTAGCTCGCTGAAACAATGCCTTTGCAGACTGAGCCCCTTTGTGCTTATTCCTAAAAAGCAGAGGAATCACATTCGTGCCTCCCCCACAACTTTGCCAAATGCAGCTGTTAAAGCTCTTTCTTCCCAGGGCGAGAGCTCTACCCAGCTCTCGGCCTCTCCAGCAAGGAAAGCTGTAGGTCTAAAGACAGCTGTGGCCACGTTGTTTACGATGCAGATACCTGGCTACACCCAGAACATGAGTTGAGTTCACAGCAAAAACTATCATAGTCTCCTCCTATAATGACAATCCATTCTGGCAGTTCAAGGGCAGCTTTGAACAAGGACAGGGAAATTAATATTTGTCCCCTCCCAAAAAAAAAATATGATACTTTGATATCTATGCACTGGTATTGTACATGTTTCAGTTTTATATTCTGCAGAAAATATCAGAGCTGAGATTTAGACGGCCATGAAGGAACTGATTTACAGGTTAAAAGACAGACATGATTCTGTGCAGCTTCCATGCACAACATAAAACTAGCTGAAGTAAACACTAATGTATTGCTCAAGTAATCAGTGTCAGGGAACGGATTTTGCTGCAATCCATTAATCAGGAAATTGTAAAACATTGGTTGTTAAAGCAGTATTTGCACTTTACACCCGTCCCTTTCCAAAGAAATTTCTCACAACTTCTGTTTAACCCAGCAGTAAAAAATTTTGTCTTATTTTCTACATCCTTCCAGTCTCTTCAACCAAACACATCCAAGGAAACTTCAAACAAAGCTTGCTGAGTTACAAAGACAATCTGCCTCTGACTTCTGCTACTCAGTCTGGAGGGAATCTAATTGCAGGAATGATAGATTGCATCCTTAGATACCATAAATGGATGTTGAAGATTTTGTGAACAATATGTTTTTCCTGGGAGGATGGGTAGCCAGATGTACTGGAAAGAATATGTGTAGGTAAAATAGCATTTTTTAAAAATACACACAAATTATAATGACATAGTTTTATTTTCCATTAAATCTACTTGGAAAGACTGCAGTATTGTAGGAATCTATCTGGACCATCATGTTTTTGACATACTCTCAGGCAAGATGCCTTAGTAACCAAGCTGATCACTCAGTTTCCAATTCTCAACATCATCTCAAGGTGATCTTACATAGTGGGCACCCAAGTCCAGCCAGTCACATTAGGTAAGTCAGGGGTAAAGATGTTTTGCTTGATTTGTTATTTTTTCCTTAAATCCGGTAGAAAATCAGCCTGTTTGATTTTTAGCTCAGTTTTCCAACATGAGCCTGTGAGTCTCTGAGACAAAATGGGGCAGGTCAAGCAGGTCTCTGAGGGCACTACTGCAGTCTTGTGTGTATCCCAGCTCTGGAACTGCTCCCAGCAGGCTTCTGCAGGGTGAGATATGGCTGACAACAGTGATGATGGGGTTTGGAAGCAGCCAGCAGGGGACTGGCAGGAGAGAAAGAGCTGGAGACAGGTTTGTGTGAAAGTGTGGGGCAGTGTTTAACTCACTCCCTGCCTGCTGCAGCATTAGCTGCCTTTCCAGTCCTGTCTGCCTGCCCCTGACCTGGAGCTTGCTGCTGCTACTTCCCCCTCTGGGCCTCAGAAGTAGAAGTTAATATTAAACAGGTTCCTGAGTAAAATGGGAGCGGCTGGGAACAAAGAAATTTCCATGGCAAATTCCTACTGCTCACTGGGAGCTGGGCCCTACGGCCACCCTGGCATTTTTCTTTCTGAATGATTCCTAAAGCTTACATCTCCCCTGGAACCTTTCCTCTCTCAGGGGGGGTCACTGCTGGAGGCATTCAGGAAATGGGAAACTCCACATTACTTTTGTCACTCTGTCATGTCCACCATGGGGAAGTATTTTCCTTTCCATGTGTACCTGATTTCTAAAAGTCTATTTACAGTTATTAGGCTGGGATTTACTCATTGGTGTTTCTGTGTTTTTGAAGCTTGTTTCTAGGCTGCCAATATCCAGGAGACCTCCTAGGGACATGCAGAATCATACAGAAGATATTTAACCACTTATTTTACCTTAGTGAGAACTGTGGTGCCTGGAACTCTCTTGTCAGGGCAACAATCTAACCAATATCAAAGTCTGACAAAGTCACTCTTTAGTGACTTAAACTCTTTAACTGTCTTGACATCCTTCTACTTTCATCAGCAGATTTTCATGATCATTCTAATGGATCCAAAATAACTTCCCAGATTATCTTAATGGCTTAAAAGTATTTGAATTTTTTTTTTCTAATATGAAGTATTTTTTCCTCCAGCTGTTTTTAACAGAATGCAAGACTGAACATACACACCTGGCGCCGTTTTTGAACTTTTATTTCAGTGCTGAACATTGCATGAAAAATGCTCTATGATGGAATCAGGTGCAGTAAATAAGTTTCATCTTTTAGATACTAAAAGGTATTCCAAATTCTCATGGGTTAGTTTTCCATTGAACATCCGGGTTTTCTTATAACAGGGATTTGTTCAACTGAATTTATGAGCTATTTGGCATTGATCATGGTGCTGATAATATCAGGAGGGAGTCTGCTGCATAGAGAGCCTGGATCAAGGTCTTTATTTGGGTGCTCCTTGTCCTGGATGAAGGTTGGTCTTAATCATTCAAAGAAGTTATTCATTCCAAGATTGTTGGAGTTCATAGTTCATTCCAAGGACTAGCCTTTTTGTGTGTTTTATGCATACCTGTACCTTGCTTTGAAGCTTGTTAAAATTTACATGTATATTTCACCTCCTTTTAATTCAGAGCTGTTTGCCCAGGTCTGGATTCTGCATATTCCAGAAAATGCCAGCAAGCATTCCCACTGCCTCATTCCTTAGGTAGTTCAAGGGCACTGAAGTCATTGTTTCAAGGAAACCTGAGGACAGATGTGCCTCCTCTCCTGTGCTCTTCCTAAAGTCCAGCATCCTAGGGACTGTCCTAGTGCCTATGTTTAGACCTCAGGCTTTATTTCAGTATTTTCTGGAGTGACTGATGGCCTGGATACGTTTGATTTATTAATATATTTTCAAGGAGTGAGGCAAAAAATATCACTAACACTGCAGTGACAGGGTTCTCCCTTCACCTTGCCCCTGCGCCCCAGCTTATCACTATCTTTTGGGAATGTGTTTAGTACTTGGCTTAAGGTTCTTGGCAGTAGGAAGCCAAGGGCACCATGTGGCTCAGGCAAACAGCAGTTTCAGAACCAGGATTTATTACAGAATCACAGAACGGTCGGGTTGGTGGGACCATCATCCGGCCCAAGCTCCCTGCTCAAGCAGGGCCGTCCTAGGGCACACAGGATTGCGTCCAGAGGGCTCTGGAATGGCTGCACTGAGGGACATACTACAGCACAAGGACGCGATGTTTCTTACCCCGTTAGCGCAGCACCGGCTGGCTCAGTGCCAACTTTTGGGCTGGGCCTTTGCGGCGCCACTGTCCCGTCCTGCTCCCGCCCCCCGCCGGCGCCACGTCGCCGTTCCGTGTCGTTCCCTCCTGGAAAAGCTCCTTTCCCACCGCCGGCCGATCCCGGCGGGGCGAGCCGGGCCCCACGCCTGAACGCGGGGCTGCGCCGCGCGCGCTCCCGACGGCGCCACGGGGGCGCGCTCGGGCCGCGCGCTCCCTACGGCCGCGCGAGGGCAGCAGTGGCGCGGCCCCACCCCCGGCGCGTTCGCGCGCGCCCGTCCCGTCTCAGCCAACGGGAGCCGCCGCTGGCCCGGGGGGCGGAGCCGCGGCCGCGCCCCGCCCCGCGCAGCCGGAAGGATCCGCTCCCGGAAGTTCCGGCGCTGCCGCCGCTTTGCGGGATAAACAGTAATGGCGGAGGCGGTGGCGGCGCTGGAGACAACGGCGGGCGCGGCGGCCGAGGCCCTGGGGTCACCCGCGGCCCCCGCGGGAGCGGCGGCCGTCGCCTTCGACTTCGCGGCCGTGCCGCCGCCATCCGCGGGGCCTGGGGGAGGCGGTTGGACCAAGCAGGTCACCTGCAGGTATGCGCCGTCCGCGGCGGGTGGGGAGGGGGAGGGAAGCGGACGGGCGCGGCCGCCCTTCCTCGTCCTTCTTTTCCTTTCCCTTCCCTTCTCCCCGCAGGGCCCCCCCCCCCCCTGCCCCGGGGCCTTCTCCCTCACCGCCGCCCCCCCCCCGCCCCTCCCCCCACGGTCACGTACGCGCCGCGCGCGCCCGCCCGTGGCGCGCGCCGGCCCCGCCCCGCGCGCGTCCCCGGGGGTGGCGAACGGCTCCGGCCCCGGGCGGGACCGGCCCCGGGCGGGGCTACCGGCGGAGGTGGCGCGGCCGCGGCGGCGGCAGCCGGGCCCGCCGGTGGGGGCGGTGCGGCCCGCGGCCTTTCTCCAGCCGCGGCCTCGTGCGAGGGTGTTCCCTGCGGCCTAGCGCCTGCGGCGGCCGCGCCGGGAGCGTTCCCGCCGCCGCACCGGGAGCCGCGGGCCGCTCGTCATTGTGCGGGAACAGGCCCGCGGTGCTCGGCGCGAAGGGCGCCGTGTGGAAGGAAGTCCTGCAGGCGCGTTCCGCAAAGCGCGACAAAGCAGGAAACGCGACGTAGTTTAAATTGTCGTGCGTTTCAATCGAAATTTAAAATTGGGGATTACCTAGTGATTGATATAGCGAAAGCTAATTATTAAAACGGTGAACAGGAATAGGTCGTGCCATGTTGCAGAATGTGCGAAGTGGCCCTGCCTGTGTCACACAGAGGTTCTGTGTGCTGCGTCATTTCCTATCCGTGTTTTCCTTTAAACTAAATTTCTGATAAATCTTCTCTCCGGGGTTATGCAAGCCGTACTGCGTGTTTTAAAGCTTGCTGGATGGACTATTTTTAAACCTACAGTGCTGGTCGGTTGGCAGGCAGAAAGGAATTTAAAACACATTTTGTGAACGTAGACATATACTAGTTAATATAAAAGCAAATGATAGCCCAAGATTAACATCGATGAGCGTCTCCTGCTTTTTAAAAATTTATTTATTTAATAAATTAAATTACATTTAACGTTTTTGTGGACAAATAAATTCTAAGTCGCTGTGAAGCAAAAAGGAGCATCCCTTGGTTAGGACAGAAGAGGCTCTAGATCTTGATTGAGTTCTTTTGTATCTCTCGTGCTTGCCTTTCCCCCATTTGTTTCACCGGCAGATTGCAGCAGCAGCATGAGGAGCCGCTGCTGGGCTTTCAGCGAGCGCGCTGGCTGTGTCTGTTCGGCGTGCCCCGCGGTGTTTGAAGCATCCCTGCTCGCTCTTGCTCCCCATCAGTTTTGGCCGATGCCCAGCTATCTGCTTCCTTTCGGGAAGCTCCGTTCAGCAGCGCTCCCGGGGGTGCTGCGGGCAGAGCGTTTTGCCTGCGAATCCCTGGTTAATGTTTGATGCCGGTGATGGGGAAATGACCGGGAACCGTGCTTAGCTCAGCTTTAAGTGAGGCGCAAGGTCAGTGCTCCCTCTATTTGAGTTTGCCCGTAATTTCTGAAGATCGAAAGGCTCAGTTAGGCAAATTGGATTCATGAGACAGCAATGGAATAGGTATAGATGCAGGATCGATTTATTGAAGACAGCCACTGCCATAGTACAGAGGCAGTCAAGTTCATCAGTGTCCTGCAGTGCAGAGAGTCGAGGGAATATATTTATTTGCAAACACTCAGACTGAGTGAGAAGCTAAAGCTGCTCTTTTGTAATGGTTAATGTGCTTTAATTTGAGATTAAACAATGGGATCTTGGCCTTGGATCTAATGAACGTCTCCATTCTTTGTTCTCTTTGCCTAATCCTGCTAGTTATCCCATTGCTTGCTTTATTAATTTTTATGGGGCCATTCAAGCTGGAGGAAGAATAGCTTTAATCAGGCTTTAAAGTGAAATTAGCAATTCTGACTTGCCCTTCTAGGAACCTGTGATAAAAATTTTGGATTTCTATGTTTGGTTTTGATAAAATATATTCATATTTAGGAAGATGTATTTCTTACTATTAAATTTTAGTTTACCTTTGTAAATGAGCTGGAGGATTTAACAGTGAGATGAAGAAGTTAGATTTCAAAATGCAGGTTTTTAGTGTGGGAGGTAGAGCAGTTTGAGTAACACTGCACAATTTTTTTGTTCACAGGCATTTTTAGTTGAATCATCATAGGGGTAACAGTAAATGCTGCCTGAAGAACTTTTGGGAGATAGTCCCTTCAGTATAAGGAGCTGGCACGTGATGGCTGGTGCAGAAATACTGCTGTTTTAGGGAAACTGGAAGGCTTAAAATTGGTACCATAAGTTCTTGCTGTTCCTTTGAATATCTGATATGATAAATAGGTTGGTTAATGAGTTTTAATGTACCAGTGTGATATCCTTGGGATGGATGATTAATATCTCAGAGTGAGAGACACAATGACTAAGAAGAAGGACTTTGGTTTCTCCTACACATACAGTTTTGCTGATGTTACCCTTCTGTTTTTCTTGCAGCTAAAGTTTAGAAGTCTCGGGGTGAAATATGGGAAATTATGTTCCCTAAGAGACGATGAGAAAGGTTGTTGGTTGGTTTTTTGTTTTTTTTTTTTACTTCTGTGGTTTAGCAGTTTTCAAGGCTTGTCTTTTGTAAAAATTTATAGTATTTTAATCTGGATTAAATGGCAGGGGAACAAAGCTAATTCAGAACTTGTTTGTTATTATGAAATTTTTCTTATTAATATGTTTGAAATAAAAAAAAAGGTTGTCCTTACCTAGTTCCTCAGTCCTTCCAGTTGAGATGGCTACATGGTTTTATTGAGCAGTGCTGTAGCCAATCTTTTTTTTTCCAAAGGCTTGACACTGTTTGTTCCGAGCTTGTGTGTTCCAGATGTCATGCGACATTAAAAGTCATCAAGCTGATGTAAACAAATTGCATTTCACTTGTTTGTTTTAGAAATGAAAGCAAATAAAACCCATGGCAACTAAGTGCTGTACTTTGAGAGCTGTCTCTTAGCTGGTCTTCCTGTAAACCTGGGTGAGGTAATTTTTTCTTGTTATGTGAAGAGTGTGCATCAGAAAAGTCAGGCCTCCATAATTGCGTGCAGCACCAGGAATCCTGACAGCCTGCCTGGATTGCCCCTTTCATGGCTGCTCTGGTCTGCATCCCTGGGAACTTGTGAAGGAGGTTATGGAGAAGGGACAATGAAATAAATGCTGTGAAGATCAATTTTTTTCCCCCTTTTACTAACTCCAGGAGAATTTCATTGGCAAGTAATGTGGCTGAACACCCAGGAGCTGTGCTAGAGCAGTGTGCTTAGCTTCTCTCCTGCTGCCTTCTTCCTGGGAATTCTCAGTCTCTGTATGGCACCTGAAGAGGCTAATGCCTGCAGATGGATGTTATCCTGAGCTTCCCCATCTGCCAGTCATGGCAGTGTCTTGGGTTTTGAAGGAGGTTTGCTGTGGCTGTAACATTCTAATTTAGCTGAAGCTAAATTGTTTGATAAAACAAATTAGTGCTACCTGAAAGCAGAAACCTGAGGTAAAGAACAGAATACATCTGAATAAGGAAACCTATTGCAAGCTTCCAAAGCTATAGAAGGAAGAATTTGGAATAGGAATTTGCCTATTGAGAAATAGGAATATTGCCTATTGAGGAATATCTGTGAAAATGAGGATATGCTCTTTTGATCAAGGCATTAATAACTAGACATGTGTTGAACCTTTTTCAGTGATAAAATGCCAGTGCAGGCAGTTATTAATTTTGTCTAGTTATTCCATGTGTTAGTGTCACTCATGTTTTCTGCAATTGTGCAGTGAACTGAACTGGGGAAATTATCTGGGCTTGGACCCTGATGACTTCTCTAGTCTGGCTCCCCAAGCAGCTTAACCAAATTACACTTGTATATTTGAATTGGAAGGACAGAGAGCACTGCCACAATAAGTGCTTTTTTGGATGACAGCATCACAGAGGCTCAGAGAAAATCCAATTATATGCTTGTCTTGATCTAGTTTTATCTTTTCAGATGAAATTACATGTGTTCTCTGACTACTTGACCAAATGCAAATTTCAGATGTCCTTCTACGTGTCTGTGTGTAAGGCAGATAACTCATATATTTCTCAGTTTTAAGGGTGCTTTTTTCCTATAACCAGAATGAAGAGGCTGGTATTGCTGTTGAATAGGGTTAAATTGAATACTCTGTGTAAGTAAAGATACTCTCCAAAATAAATTTCATTATCTTACCCCAAAAATAATGCACTCTGTTTATTTTTTTTTTACTTGGCCAAAGTGTTTTAGCCAAACTCTGCGATTTGATATGTGAAGTGTTACATTCTTTGTGACCTTAAAGTAAGAATCTTACCTCTTGGTGAGGGGGGAGGATTGTGGAAGAAGTTGGGGTGTAATCCTAAGAGAAATACATTTTTTCCCCTCCCACTCCAGCCCTTCTTGTTCAAATAATGCTGAGTTTGCTGCATAGGATTGAAGGCCTTTAAGAGTTACGTGTGAGTTAGAGCCTGGACTGTTTCATGTTTATTTTTTGCCCTTCATGTTTATTTTTTGCTGGGTTTTTTTTGCCCTTTATGCCATTTTAGAAAAGAATAATAATAAATTGTGGCAACTTTCAGAATTACATAGTATCTGCATTTTCAGAGGATTTTCTGATGTAAATTGG